CCCCACCTTGATTGGCGCTTGAGCCTTAAAAAGTGACAGAGTAAGAGAGAGTAAGCAAGTTAAATGAGGAGAATAATTTGATACACTCCCTGATATCAACAACAGGTAAATCATTCACAATTCTGAAAATTTCTTATTTCAAATTACGTTACTTAATCTCGAACGACTTGGAGAAAAAAAATAATAGCAACGATAAGTGCATTAACACAAGATCATTCAACCACTTGTCTCAGAATTCACACATAAAAAATAAATCTTTTGTCCTTTGTCAATCTGCTGGGTTTTATCGAATGGCAACACTCTTCACACTTACTCCATTAAACCTCTTTTCTCACGAGAAATATCTTCCTGAGAATCAAACGAATGGATAGCTCTTCAACAAGGCATGCAATGAGAATTTTGGCAGTATCCATTCATTCTTTCATTTTACTCAACATATTGGTATACAACTATTAGTCAAATACAATCCCGGTACTCAATATAATTATTGCTAATGACTCCATTGCTATTATTATGTCAGATGTTGAAACAGGTTATATTCCTTAGTTTGATCAGCTAGCATCTTCCACAGCTAGGAGCTGCCATGCCATATTCTCAGTGGCAAATCTTTCCCATTCCCTCTGGATTCCTTTGGTAAGGAGTATGTTCCTCTGAGCTTCATTCCAAGAATTATCACTTTGCTTCCCTGACGTTTACAATGATTATTAATTGTAATTATTATTGCAACCCCCCCACCCCCGCCGATTATTATATGTGGGGTGCAGTTGAGTGAGAGACCGACAAAACTCCAAATAACACCAATGATGAACTGAAGGCAAGGATTATAGCAGCATTAACCAACTTAAACAAGGAGACCATCCAGAAGAGTTGCAGGAGATTCCAAAGTTGTCCGGAGGCCATGGTTGAAGCCAATGGCGAGTTTATTGAATAAATGAACTCTTTAGTATTTTAAGATATTTTTATGTAATTTTGGTAAATATATCTGTTAAAATGAGATGTGGAGCTATTTTCATTTTTGCATAATTTAGATGACAATTGCATGGAGAGTTGTTTGCGACAGTAAGTTTCATGCTTTTGTGATCTTCAGACAAAAGTAAATCTATTTTGCTTTATCTGTGTTTGTTTATTTGTGTGGTAGGAAGGGCGAATTTTTTTGTTCTGTGTTTGTTTGGGATGGCACTCACATATACATAGACATACATACATACAGGTGCATACATGTTAGTTCATACATACAAACCCATATTCATAATTTGAGATTAGGTGCAGTTACACTTTCATGTACTCGAGCACACGGATGTATGCAATTTCATTCTGTCTTGACACCGAAATAGCACTGTTAATATGTCTCAAATATAGATAATACATTTACAGTCAATCCAGACCAGAGTTTTGTTTATAGCAGGAAGTGGATTCTCCCCCCCACCCGCCCAACATAAGAAATCTAAAGAATAGATTGGCAGAAATGCTGTATATACAAAGAGGAACAATTACTTGCAGAATACTGGGTCTGAGAACGTCTACTATTGCAGTTAATGGAAATATCGATTACAATCTATATGCTAATGACTCTTCTCAAATTGACAGACAACTCAAGAGGTTCATGTTTCAGGAATTTGGGAGATTCAGTTAAAATTCTTATGGCATGTTTCTTCAGGTCAGAGGTGATCATGATTCTCCACAGGTTTTCTTTATTATCTGTGATTTGCCATGCATTCTTTGGAAATATAGTGGAGGCATTTCCCATTGCCTTTTCCATGGTTTGAAAATAAGAAACCAGCCAGAATGGTTACCAACCAAGGCTAGAGAGCTTAGTCTACTCTGCTATTAAAATGGAGGGAGTGGGAAGAAGAGACAGATTCAGTTCTTTCCAAAGAGCATTCAGTGTAGAAGTGAACACAAAGATGAGCCTGGAATTTGAACTTGACTTCCTCTTACCCATACTGATATCTGTTAAATAATCAGAACATCCCTACATTTTTAGTAATTAACGTCTTACTGTTTGTTTGAAATGAGTTAAAAAAAATAAATGTTTATTCTTATAGATGTATTTGATCAAACAAAGCTAGAATTATTTCAAAAGGTGAAAGATATTAACTCCAGCATAGATAAAATTTCCAACTGGCTCATCTGGGCAGGAGAGTTTCTGCCTAATTGGAAACAACCTTTTAATTAAAAACAAAAAAAAACAAAAAAAAACTCTTGTCATTCTGATTTGGCAGGAGGCACTGGGGCTGGGGGGCCCTACTGCTCTATTTCATCATCTGATACTTGACAGAGAAATGCCTTCAATTAAAATACCCTCTGCCTTTTGCAGGGTTAGAGATTTCAAGATAACAAAAAATGATGCCTTCAAGACAGAGAGCTGCTGTTTTTTTTGGGGGGGGTTGTGTGTCACCCCACTCTTATTGGTTATAACAGACAGATCAATTTATCAAAAGAATGGTCTTGGCTTCACTCAACCAAAAGTGACCACACCCAAGGAGAGACATAAACCCAAGTTCTACATAAAAGTACTAACTTGTTAATTAGAAAAAAAAATGTTTCAGAAATATTCTGCGAAACAGATGAAATATATATATATATATATATATATATATATATATATATATTATCCCTTACCACTAGCATGACTCAGAGTTCCATACTCAGCACCTGAAGATTGCATTGTGCATGAAAGATTGCTATCAGTGAGGAATAATATATATTTATTAATATATACATAATATTTCTGTTGTATTACATCAAGCACTGTTTTATTAACACCAGCATTACATGTGCGATATACGTGTGTGTGTGTATATATATATATATATATATATATATATATATATACACACATATATATATATGTATGTATGTGTGCGTGTGTTTATACATATATGTATGTATATGTGTACATATATATGTATGTATGTATGTATGTATGTGTGTACATATATATATGTATGTATGTATGTATGTATGTATATACATATCTATGGATGTATGTATGTATGTATATACATATCTATGGATGTATGTATGTATGTATATATATATATGGATGTATGTATGTATGTATATACATATCTATGGATGTATGTATGTATGTATGTATATACATATCTATGTATGTATGTATGTATGTATATATATATGTATGTATGTATGTATGTATGTATATATATATATGTATATATGTATGTACATATATATGTATGTACATATATATGTATGTATGTATGTATGTACATATATATGTATGTACATATATATGTATGTACATATATATGTATGTATGTATGTATGTATGTATATTTGTGTGTGTGTGTTATCTCAGGGACATGCTGGCAAGGTAGGCAATGTCTACCCTGAATAAAATAAATTAGCAAATACATTTTCCTTCTACGGAACAATATGTACCCAAATCCAACAAGATTATGAAGGTTATTCTGATTATTATGTATAAAATGCAAAATATTTTAGTTTTTTGTAGATTTACTCCATAAAGGTCACAAGCTACCTACGTTGAGAAATTATTGATAGCACGTGTGCACTTTTATATAAGGAAAAATAGGAAACATCATTCTGTTCAATTCCAATCCATATTTGATCCCAATTCATACAGACGAAAATAAATAAATATACTGTTTAATAAATAAACAGAGTGTCTACTTAAATACAAGTATTCATTAGAAATAATGTTTAAAGTGATAACATCTGTTGGGATTAAACAAGTTCCTTTCTTTAGAAAATTCATTTTGTTTATATTTACATATGAAACTGTTCAGATATGAAAAATTTCAGGATATCTATGATGAGAGAAGTTTTACTTAAAAGGTACAATTTCAGCTTTGCCTGACTGATTGATTGATTGATTCTCTGTAGCTCAGTTGGTAAGAGTGTAATGGATTTAATGGTAGCTCCCTCTGTCTTTTCCTATTTTGCATAATTTATCTGTCAAATATGTTTTAACCTATTGATCTGAAAATTGAGTTTTATATTTGTTTTTTTTTTTTGTGCTTATTAATATATAAAAAACCTGGCATCATACAGGCATTAGATTCTGAGAAATGGATAAAAATATTCAAAATTGATTGGTTTGTGAATGATTTCATCAATGACTGTGTGTGTGTGTGTGTGTGTGTGTGTGTGTGTGTGTGTGTGTGTGTGTGAATGTGGAATAAGTTTTCGTGTGATGAATTTCATCTGTTACAACTTCATCTGACTAAATTTATTTACATTGGTGTGATTACACATCCGGACAGACAAAAAACGCTGGTAATTCTAAATTTTAAATTATTGTACTAATATAACAAATTTAGTCCAATGAAGTCCTAAAGGAGAAAATGCATCACAAGAAAACTTTTTCCATTTAGTCATATATCTTCTCTCCCAAATTGTTCTTGATATGTAAAAATTTATATCATTATACCATACACACACACACACACACACATGTATTTAAGATGCTATGTCGGGGTTAAAGTAGAAAGAAGTTGGGATTGAATTATTATTATTGGAAAAATTGAAATCAACTCAAATGTTTACATTCAGTACAATGTGCTCAAATATATATTTAAGTAATTTGAGTTTTATGTATTTACACTATTCACATTATTTGGATTATTGTCTTCATTTTTACTGTAAAGATGAGGACAACAGTCTGAAAAATTTAAATACTGTAGTTATAATACCTCATCTCAGAAATCTAGACAGTAGACAGATGTTGAATATTGAGTTATGATTGATTTGTCTTTTTATGGATTATCAACATTTTCCAGGATATTTAAAGCCAGAAAATATTTCTAAATTATAAGAATTTTTGAAAGATAATAATGATTTACTGATACAAGTTATAATAATTAACCCATAGCTGAGAGGAGAAGAGGTAGATTTATACCTTTCCAAAGAGCATTTGTGTATAAGTGAATATAATAAACTCAGCTAGAATTGGAACTTGGCTCTCTGATTTTCGATTTTGTGTCATTATCCATTACACCACCCTTACATCCAAGCTTACAGTACCTGGTATTCTCAAGCAGTCACCCATCTAGGTATTGACCAGGCTTGATATTACTTAACTTTAGTGATCATACGAGAACCAGTGCTTCAATATGTTATGGCCATAAGGCCCAAGCTTTGTGACACCATGTTTAGGTCAAGTGTGCTTTAACCATTCAGCCATGCAAGGCTGATCATTTTCATTACTATATTTGCTAACTTATATTTTTATATCTGAAATGTAACCAGTAACTCTAAGTAGTTAATGAATATTAGTCTGACATTATGTTTAGTACTATTTTATTATTTTAGTTGTTAAACATATATGAATGGACATACGAGATCTGATCAAAAAAGACTGAGTGAAGCCGCTTGGCACAGATTGACTCTGAATTTTGTCGCGCATACAAAGTTATAACATTGTCGCTCACTTCTGTTGTTTATAGCAGTGCTTGGAAGGAAAGTGTGTAGAGTTTGGTTGTCTCACCAAACCACACCACAGAGGTTCCATCAGTGACAATGGCTTGTGCAGCAGTTTTTGACTAAGAGCAACATTCCTTGGTTCTGGCAACCACCATATTCCCCAGATCTCATCCCTTGTAACTTTTTCTCTTCAAAAATCAAATCAAATCTCACTTAAAAGGAACAAAGTTTCAAGAGGTCAAAGAAATCCAGGAGAATGCGACAAAGGAGGTGCACACTATCCCCCAAAATAAGGAGTTCCAGAAATGATTCTATTATTGGAAATGATGCTGGATAAAGTGTGTGGTTTCAGAAGGGGACTACTTCAAAGGAGATTAAATGCTGAATTAATATGTGTTGTAGTTTTCTTTTTATAGCATCAGACCTGATACTTTTTGATCAGACCTTGTAACTGTTTCTTGCTGCTTCTTTTTTAAACAGTGAAATTAATGTCCACCAGCCTAGACACAGAAAGACTCATTAAAAAAAAAATATTCCTATTGGCAGTGATTGACTTTGCATTCCCTTTATCCTGGGAAACCATTTTCTAGTCAGGTGTACTTTAACTGGTCAATTGTGACAAGAAAGTAAGGTTTTATTGCCCATTTTATCTAATGCACAATTCATCATTGGAATGTTCAATGTCTATATTTGCTTAGATTTTTGTACATAAAACACAAACACAATAAGTTAAATAATTAGTGGATTTTAATCAGACATTATACAGGCATTAGAAATTTTACAAGTATAAAACAGCTATGGAAAGAGAACTCTACACCTCCTTTGTCTTTCTTGGTTCAGTTTTGCAGAATAAACCTAACCAATCAAAGTTTGAGAATAAAATTTTGAACCTCTCGGTTAGCAGCTGTATGTTTCACCTATTGAGCCAAACTTGCTGGTGTTACTTCTAATTTAAGTACAGTCGAACATCTAATCTCTTTGCCTGTAATGACCAATCAATTCAATGGTTCACTCTTTTCTGCCTATTTGCCTCCAGAATAATTAAAATCCAATAAGTAGAACCAGTTATTTGGAATTGAACATTCAAGAAGGAAATTAGCGATTTTTCTTTTTCCTCTGAATTCTATTACGAATACATCTTCCCCAAAATGTTTTTGTATCATCTTTATAAGAGCAATTAAGAAGATAAAGAAAATACAGATGAAGTTGTTATAATAAAAAAGGAAAATTATAAAAGACACTTTATAATAACAAGACACACACACACGTATATTGCTTACCAATTAATAGCTTGTTAGTAGCTTTTAGCAGAGCTGATGATATATAAAACACAAATTTGAAAGAAAGAGAAAAAAAGCAGAAAACCAATAAAGAGAGGGGGGTTAAAATGACAAGAAAAACAATGAAAAGGAGAAATAGCAACTATATTCTACACATGTGCACACGCCAATGTATGAACTCACAAGCACTATGAAGATGGGGGGGGGGATCAACCTGATACTAAAAAAAAGTGCATATATAAAAGAAAATTGCTGGTATCCCCTGATAAAGTGATTGCTTGAGGGCCTATCTAAGAAACACTAGATTTGGGATGCTGATGGTAACACCAATCTGCTAAGTGACAAACTTTATATTTGCATTAATTCTGTCTCTCTCTCTCTCTCTATATATATATATATATATATATATATATATTATGTATGTGTGTGCAGTATTTAGTAGAAAGTGCTCAATATCCATGATAGAGCTAACATATGCAACTATCCATGCAACCACATATACTGTGTGTAACAGCAAAATCGTCCAATTGTTAGATTAAGCTCTGAACTATTGTATCTTAGAATTGATTAAAGATATTTTACTGGAATTCTCTCAGGGGTTTATAAAAGTATTGGACTCTACTTTGAACAGTATGAATCTACTTATCCCACCAGAGGACACTTTTTGAACAGTATGAATCTACTTATCCCACCAGAGGACGCTTTCTGAACGTATAAATACACTTTAGTATTTTCTATTATTCTCTTTCTCCTATTTCACCCGGGGACAGATGCAAGTCAGATGTGGAGAAAAGCATGCACATGCACCAACACCTTTTCTGTTCACTTTCCATTACTATTTTCTTTTTCCTATTTTCCTTAGACACACTACGATATATCTATTAAAATGTGATGTCAGTGTTATTTTTATTTTTGTGTAATTTAGATGACAATTTATCCATTGCAGCCTGTATGTATTGGGTTGACCCGAAAGTCCATGCCATTTTTTAAGAGAAATTAAAACACAAAACGAAATTATGCCATTAAATATTTATTCAACTAAATAAAAACCATTTTGTTATACAACCTTTCTCCATTTTTCCTTTTCAACTTAAAGATTCCATCTTTGCAAAATTTCAATGGTTTCTCAGCAAAGAACTCATTAAGATGGATTTATGTCAACCAAGAAATTAAAATATTTCCCCAATGAGATTATTTTGCAAGGAATTGAATAAATCAAAATCCAAAGGAGCAATATCTGGAGAATATGATGGGGTGGGGTAATACATCCCAGCCAAGCTACAACAATTTTTGCTGGGTCACCAAAGAAACGTAACCTCTGGCACTATCCCGATGAAAAACAACGCCTTTCATGTTTGCTAATTCTGGTCGTTTTTCTTGAATTGCTGCCCTTAATTCGTCCAGTTGTGAGCAGAACTTTTTAGAATTAATTGAGTTGGCAGAAGTTCATATTACAAGATTCCTTTCCAATCCCACCAGATGCACAGCATGACTTTCTTAACCTGCTTTTGAGGTGGCCAAAGTTGGCTCATGTCACTTACCCCAGGATCTTTTACACTGAACATTGTTGTAAACAATCCATTTCTCATCATCTGTCAAAATTTGCTAAAAAAAAGAATGCATTTTCATTGTGTTTATACAGAAAATCACAGATGAAATGTGATTCAAAAAATTCTTTTCACTCGGATCATGTGGTACCCAAACATCATTGCGATTTGAGTACCCAAGCTTCACTCTAAGTGCTCATGGATGGTGGATTTTAATAAATTTAGTGTTTCTGCCAATTCCCAGATTGTGTAATGCAGGTTATTTTCAATCAGAGTCTTGATTTAGTCGTCATCTGTAGTTGGGGGGTCTGCCTGAGCTTTCTTCATCAATAAGGCTACAATCACCAACTCTAAACTTAGCGAACCATTTCGATACAGATTCTGTCTGCTAAAGCACCTTCACTGTACACAGCACATATCTTTTTTATTGCTTACAAGACATTTTTGCCTTTACGGTAAAAAAAAAAAAAAAACATCAAGTTTCTAAAATGCACCTTATAATCTTCCATTTTCATAGGGATGCAAAATTGATGCAAAGAAAGTAATTTTAAACATTCTTTCTCAAGAGATAGTTTAAAGTGTGCTCTAAATGTATGCATATCATATCTGTCAATAAATTTGACATCTTCTAACATGTTGGAATATGAATAACTAAAAATTGGCATGAACTTTCCGGACAACCCTATATAACATGAAATTGTTTAGGATTTCAATCTTCACACAAACAGAAGATATAACTGGTCAAAAATGTTGTGTTTTAGGTAGCTTAGCATTATTAAGTAAGCATATTTTCCTTCTAGATATTTAGAAGAACTAGGCACGTCTGGCACAAGGCCAAAACAGATGTTCATTTTAGATTTTTAGCAAACTTTGACATGTCTGGTATCAAACCAAAAAAGTATGGTATGTTCCTTGTAGATATGTAGCAAATCCAGGAATGTCTAGCAAAAAAAACAAAATTAATGTTCATTGTTGATATTTAGCAAAGCCAAGCATGTCAGGTACAAGGCCAAAATTAATGTTCCCTGTAGATATTTAGCAAAGTCAGGTATGTCAGGTACAAGGCCAAAATTAATGTTCCCTGTAGATATTTAGCAAAGTCAGGTATGTCAGGTACAAGGCCAAAATTAATGTTCCTTGTAGATATTTAGCAAAGTCAGGTATGTCAGGTACAAGGTCAAAATTAATGTTCCCTGTAGATATTTAGCAAAGTCAGGTATGTCAGGTACAAGGCCAAAATTAATGTTCCCTGTAGGTATTTAGCAAAGCCAGGCATGTCAGGTACAAGGTAAAAATTAATGTTCCCTGTAGATATTTAGCAAAGCCAGGCATGTCAGGTACAAGGTCAAAATTAATGTTCCCTGTAGATATTTAGCAAAGTCAGGTATGTCTGGTACAAGGCCAAAACAAATGTTCCTTGTAGATATTTAATAAATACAAGTTTGTTTGACTCAAGGTGAAGAAGAATCCCTTTTATCAGCTAAATTCCCGTGTCCAGAATAGATTTTAGTTGGAAAAAAACTTATCCAATTGAAGTAGTTAACTTGTATAGCTTAGATGTCTGATGTAATGGAATAACCTGTCACCACCATGAGTGACTACACTATAGGTAGTAACTGCCTATAAGTATCTGTAAGTCAACGGACAACAGAGACTAGCTGGGATCTTTTCCAACTGTGCTGGTCAAACTCTCTGCCTCCAAGCAGAGAGGATCCCCTGACGAGTCTATGCTGAAAAGCAGAGTTTCATCTCGGGATCAGCTATCCGATCCCGTTTTATATGGGAACTATAGGAATTTTTGGCTTGGATGCCCCACATTAAACCCAGCCTTGTGCCACATCTGATCGCGTGGGGAGGTTAGTAAATATACTAGCTGG